CGAACTATTGGTGAAACGGGATTTCGATTCCGCGATCCTCGGAGTGCGAGTCGAGCGCCCTAACCACCTGGTCACGTGGAGAGACATTTTGCAGCAACAGGACTCAAACCAGAAGCCTTGGGTTTACAGTTTGCAACGACAACCCATACTCCACGGTCAGCTCGTACGATAAAACAACCATGGACACTCCCAGTCAAAACCAGGTACATCTGCCATGAACAACTAAACTCTTCTTCCGAAAATAAACGAAAGATAAACAAATAATTTGTCACAATTTAGTATGAACTCTTAATACTCGGTGGAAAGTAAATTTTATATAAGAGTAAAACTTTGTAAATGCCGTTTGTTATGAATAATCCTGTAAGAATATGTCAGTTCTTGTGTAACTTCTAAGACTCGAAACTTTTCTTTATATTGTTGCAATAAATTCAAACAATGACGAATGGCTTTCTATTCACGATAATGACTAGATGTACTTCCGTAGGGTCCCCGAAAGTGTTCTGTTTCAAGAGTAAATAAAACCAAAATTAAGAGTAACTAATATTTATATTTCTTGCTTTTCATGTCATGCTGTGTTGTAGCCTACAGAGCGCATAATTCTTCCCGTGATTCATGGCATGCGCACTTTTTACTGACGTCACAACAGTACAAATTGCAACTTTAAGCGTCCTTTACGTGACGTCATTTTAGTGTCTACTGACTCACTAACAGACAACACACTACTGTATAGTGGTGTGAGTGGTTAAAACAGGTGACCCTTTCGGGCGGTCTTCGGGTCCCTTTCGTGGAAATAATCACATAGGATAAAAAAAAATCGACGAATCGCAAGGTTAAACGGGGGATAAACTGGAAAGAGAGTACGCAGTGTAAATTGGTGAAATTCCTTCTTTAGAGATGAATTAAAAATGAGAAGAACAGAGAGTAAAGTTACTCTATTACATCTCCTATACTTATTTCCAATTCGCTTCTGAGAAGGAAAAGAGCTGGGAAACGCTAGGACTATCAGGTTTCTCACTTTCTGTAAAATTCAAAGCTTGCTAATTTGCTTTTTTAAAGTGAAAGTTAGCATGCGAAAAATAAGGAATTTTGGAGTAGAATATAATATCCGTGATAAACAGTATACCAAAGTGTCTTATTTATCAGCACATTATTAGCCTGGAAGTATAATGTAACCTATAATTTTAAGTTAAACGGGGGGAAATGTCTTTGATTTTTTTGTTGAGAGATCTCGCACATAACAAGGTATAATAACTTCTGTAAATAGCTTGTGTATATCCTTGACAGAAATCTGACTTTGATAAAATAAAATATTACATTTGCTTTTCGTAGGTCAAATGTATAATTCAACTATACAGTAGTTACTTGCATATTCGTAAAAATTAACTTATATTTGTTGCATACATAGATTTGGGAGCATGGAAATGGATTTCAAAAAACAAGTGTTGTTAAATTCAGAAAATATTTGTGTATAAGTGGAATTCCTTCAGTGATAACATTATAGAGGAATCGAAATGTCCACTTCGCAGGACATGGCTAAGCCTAAGTGTTTTGTAACTAACTTATCGAAAATCCATATCACAAATACAGTTTATATCTGTATTTTTGTGGACATACATCCATCAATACCGGAGCAAACGGCACATACGGTAAGTCCGCAAACCTAATTCTATTTCTATTTCTCCAACTTTTTATCATGCTGCCACCCCCCCCCCCCACCCCATCCTCCAAAGTACAGAAACGGCAACTAAGACAGCTTAGTGTAACGTTTGAGAATTACTACTTTTATCAAGGTTTCAAGAATAGATAGCTTATATAAAGAAGGATCTGTAAGAGACTCGCGAATTGTTATTACGAATACGCCCGTAAAGGGTTGCTGATCAGCTATTACAAGATACAGTGGAGTAACGAGTGTCCAAACGTAAATGATGCCAACTCATGTAGACTTCAAAACAGCCATTCACTTGCAATTTATGTCTTCAAAATAACCACGTGAAACCACAAAAACTAAAACTGCTTTTAAGCGCCTAGCTCAAGCGAGATTTGGGAATTCTGGCAATCTCCTTAGGTGGACCACATTTCCACGAACCGCAGCTGTCAATTCCCCAACGATATACTTTAGTATTGAATGATCAATTAATTCTAAAGAAGAAGAATAATAAAAGATGCCAGACTTTCCTCCATGAAACAGTGTAAACTTCACTGAAAACTTACCACATGAAAAGAATAAACATTGAGATATGACGTGTATATGCTAATGATCCCATTTTATACACAAACTAACTTACATAGAATTACACTAAAGGCCTCTTCGTAAATTCTCAAAATGTACCATAACTGAGTTCTCCAAACAAGTCTTATTTTCTAACATTATTACACCACCGTTACTATACAACTTCACTCACTTCTATCAGCACAGTTTCACCGCCATTAAAGATATAAGTTTCACATAATACTGCTAATAAACAACTTCACCACTTCTATCAGCACAGTTTCACCACCATTATTAATATAAGTTTCACATAATACTGCTAATAAACAACTTCACCCACCTCTATCAGCACAGTTTCACCACCATTACTAGTATACACAATGTAAGTCATTACTGAATATGTTTCACTTAGAATTGCTAGTACAATTATTAGACACCACTAATAGCACACTGTTTCACACACCATTACTATCACTCAGTTTCACACACCACTACTAACACATAGTTTTACCCACTACTAAAACGTTTTCTTAAGTATTACGAGAACAATTTTCACACATCACTACTAGTACACAATTTTACTCACCACTGTTAGTTCACTCACCATCAGTACACAGATTAAGAAGCACGAACAAATATTGATGAATCGGCTTGTATACTTACATAGCTCCAACATAGAGTATTTCTCTTTTTGGATCCAGGTAGAATGTTTCGTAGTACAGCTCACCACAGCTGAATTCTTGGACATGTTCTGGAAAAAAAATATGAAATCATGTTATTATCTGTATTAGGATGTTTCAGTATCAACTTGAAATGGTCTTCCTACCACAAAACTTTATTTTATGTTGTGGAAAATATTTAACTATTTTGTATGCCAATTAAAAAAATAAATAAATACAGGATATACATATTGTATGTATACATGTGATACAACCAACAAATTAGGAACAATAATTAAAACAGTATCTGAGAAATGAACACAGGATATCCATATTGTAAGTATACATGTGACACAACCAACAAATTAGGAACAAGAATTAAAACAATATCTGTGAAATGAACACACAGGATATCCATATTGTATGTATACATGTGACACAACCAACAAATTAGGAACAAGAATTAAAACAATATCTGTGAAATGAACACACAGGATATCCATATTGTATGTGTACATGTGACACAACCAACAAATTGGAAACAAGAATTAAAACAGTATCTGTGAAATGAACACACAGGATATCCATATTGTATGTGTACATGTGACACAACCAACAAATTGGGAACAAGAATTAAAACAGTATCTGTGAAATAAAATTTTACCTCACGTAATAAAAGGCAGTTTCTAATTATGTCATTGCTGAGAACCAAGCAATTTAATGGTTGGAATACATTCATTCATTAGATTTTGGTTGATTCAAGAGACTGATATTCTTACAATACATAATTTGAAAAATACTAAAACATTTATACAACAGTCCGTTTTCTTAGCACTATGTTACAGAAAGTCACAGCTAGATGATCGGTCTCTGCATAACACATATAGGTAGTCTATCCCGATAGCGAGATAGTCTGTTGTGCAGGGCTAACTTTTGTAAAAAATGGCTTGAATGGGTAAAGTTTAGCCCTAACTCAACTAAAGCTTACAGAGTTAATTTATTTCGTTATCGAATAAAAGCCGTACTTAATAAAGGCCTAAGTAATGTTAGGCCTAAGACAAGTTCGGTGTCTGCGATTAGAATTCGTTTGTATTATTCTAGAAATCATGTATTTAAAGAAATAATGTTGCAATAAAGATAATAATTTGACAGCAGATGTCTCTGCTAGTTTAAAACAATACTGTTTTTGTCACGTATATGTAGTAAAAGCACTGTTAGGTTATATTTTAAATTAAAAACTTGAGATTTACGAACTGTTCTTCAGCACCATAACATATATTCTAACACTTTAAAACAATGATATTTTTGAAACATAAAGAAATGCATGAAAGTTATGTGACACCCATGGACTTAAAACAACTACACCTAATAAGCTTTCTTGTACATTTTTGGGGGTGTTAGTTATGATAACCCCCCACCTCCTAGTTACCAAAACGTTGTTCGAATTTCCTGCAGAGTTCTTACTAGTGTTTCACATTTCCTACTATTCCTGATTAGGAGATATATAAATTAAACTGGGAACAGGGCTATAACATGATAACAGCTTCATCTCCAATTGTCATTAAGAAAGTCTGGACTTTTCGCTGATGCCACTTCGAAATTATTTGAAAGGGCTAACATCCACCATGGATATTCTTGGTGACATTTTGTCAACATTTCCTTCCACTTCCGGCTCCAGTTTCAGATAACCTGGTATTACTGTTTGAGAATATCAAAGTGAAGTAAATGGGGAACTATCCCCAAAACTGATAAATTTTTGTCAAACTTTTGACAGATTTACTAGTTATTTCCTATACCAAGTTTCAGGTTCTCTACTGCTTCCGTTTCGCATTTATTAAACGAAATAATTAGGGGGGTCTCCATCACAATAGGATTTTTTTTTCATACAATGCATTGCCTGTTGCTTTCCTTCCTTTCTAGGCCTAGCATGGACACCAGGTGATTAGGGCGCTCGACTGGCAATCTGAGGGTCGCGGGCTCGAATCCCCGTCCCACCAAACATGCTCGCTCTTTCAGCCATAGAGGCGTTATAATATGACGGTCAATCCCACTATTTGTTGGTAAAAGAGTAGCTCAAATGTTGGCGGTGGGTGGTGATGATTAGCTTCCTTCCCTCTAGTCTTTCACTGCTAAATTATGGACGGCTAGCGCAGATCCTTCCTTTTCCTGCCAAGTTCCCGATGTTCTATTTTGCTGTTTCAGGGTTTTAAATTGAAGTACTTGGAGAGTAAGCCACCATCATGAAATCCCTACATACAATTTTCTCAGCATTTACTGATGATTTTTTGTCGATGCTATTTCGGAAATATAAAATAAAATAAATGTAAATTTCTTAATGATTTTTTATTATTATTTCCTACCTGACTTTCAAATATAAACATAAATAACGTGAGGTATCGCTACACACATGAAGTAAAATTTGATTTCAACTCTGAAGAATAGAGTAGATTCTAATAGTTAAACAATATATTACTGTTCGGGAACTAGTTTTTATGATTACATAGCAGTGTAATTCGTTTCGCCTGACATCTCCGAAACGGTAGGAACTCTTAAGTTTTGGCAGGAAGATTTGGTTTGGTTTGAATTTCACACAAAGCTACACGAGGGCTATATGCGCTCGCCGTCCCTACTTTAGCAGTGAAAGACTAGAAGGAAGGCAGCTAGTCACCATCACCCACCGCCAACTGTTAGGCTACTCTTTTTATCAACGAATAGTTGGATTGACCATCACATTATAATACCTCCACGGCTGAAAGGGCGAGCATGTTTGGTGGGACGGGGATTCGAACTCACGACCTTCAGATTGCAAGTCAAGCGCCCTAACCACCGGGCCTGGCAGGAAGAGGTATCAAATACTTACATAGATTCGTAAACTCATATAACACAAGGGAGAAATAACATCAAATCAAGCAAACATATCCTCCAAACAAACAATTCGCCTTATGTTGAGAATCAAACAATGACCTCCCGTAATTCCGCAAGTCAACACTTCTGGTTGATTCTTAACTTTTTAATGTAAAGTAAACTAGATCAAACCTAAAATAATTTATACTAACATACACCTACATTACTGAAGACAATCACATATAACAATCGGGTTGCAAATGTTTAATGCTATAAATCAATAAGCCAGAAATCTCCAGATTTAGTCGTACGTACGGCTAAAAAAATAGTTAAAAATGTATTTTTCGTTGTTTTAAACTTTAACGTTTGTAGATTAATCATACACACTATTACATATCTCATAACAGTCGCTAGACGTCGCATTACCTATTCAACTAATATTTTTACACACTTGCATATCTTTTTCTTAGATCTACGAACTTAAAAACAACGTAAACCACACGAAGAACAATCATACCTACCATTATTTTTATAATATCAGGATTATAAATAATGATACTTGTCATAAGCTATTGGTATTAGGCCTACTATATTCTTGAATACTACATATTTTATCTAAATCCGCTAGGGATTTTCAAGAATTAGAAGGGCGTATAATGAAAATATTTCAACTACACCATGTTTGTCATGGTTAGGACGCTCGACTCGCAATCTGAGGGTCGCGGGTTCGAATCCAAGTTCCACCAGACATGATCGCCCTTTCAGCCGTGGGGGCGTTATAATGTTTCAGTCAATCCCACTATTCGTTGGTAAAAGAGTAGTCCAACAGTTGGCGGTGGGTGGTGATGACTAGCTGCCTTCCCTCTAGTCTTACACTGCTAAATTAGGGACGGCTAGCGCAGATAGCCCTCGTGTAGCTTTGCGCGAAAATTCAAAAAACAAACCAAACAAATCATGCAATCCATAGCTCATCAGGCCGGCTGGGTCACAATAAACAAAGTATTGGTCGAAACTCTTTATACAAACCACTTGTTACAACAATACCTTTTCCTCGCTGGCGAAGCATGATTATAATTAATTGTACTTGTCATAACACATCAATATTAGGCCTATTATATTTTTAACACTACATTCTTAGTGTAGTTAGTCCCTTAGGGTTTTCGAAGATTTAGAAGAGTGTATAATAATAATATTACAACCACACTATGTTCATTTTCTTAAGTGGTACTACATGAAACTTACAAAAATGCCCTTTCTGATCAATGTTACGGCCCTCTCAAATGTCCAGCAACTGCCACCAATGTATATAAAGTGGTCAGCTAGTCGGAAAGATGTGTGTGTGTTCTGTTTACCTACAACACACACATTTCACTAGTTCCTGGTACTGACAACCAACAAATATCCAGCTGCCTAACACGTGCAGTGATCAATAAAACAAATATCCAAACTCTGTTACAACACACTTGTTAGTTTAGCTATCTGTTACAATTTATATACACAAAACGAAAACACGGCTTCATTCTATCATTGGTTTTCTTGCTTCTAGACTACATTGTACAATTCTTTTTATATTGTATTCTAGACATGCAAAAATATACTTATATGAATCTTCTATATACATACAACTTATGAACCTAGCATGCTAACCAATAACTTATGTATTTGACATTCTTCAATACAACCATGTTAACTCATATCTTACGTTTCTCAACATAATCATTCTAATTATCTAATAACTTGTGTATCTTACGATTCTTAAGATAACAATTCTAATTATATAATAACTTGTGTATCTAACATTCCTCAATACAACCATGTTAACTCAACTTGTGTTATCTTATTTGCTCAATACAACCGTATTATTTTATTTAAGCTGAATCAACTAATCCATGTATAATGAGGGAGGTGGAACGCACGTAGGCTTTCTGGTTGTTTAAAGCAAGTAATATTTCTAAAAAATAAAACATACTCTTGTGATGACGAAGGGGATTACAACATTCTCGACCAGCTTCGAAAGCTTTCTCCCGCCAATTTTCATGTCTTCGAGGTCGACCGTCATAGCCCAAACCCATAGCATGACATATCAGTAATGTAGCATAGAGTCGTGTACCAGCCATGTATTGAGAACAAATACTGAAACAGCAATAAAATAAGTTCACGTGTACCACCAAAAATTATTCACCACGAACTTATATTAACATAGAACCAGTAGAGACAGTTTTCAATAGCACCAACTTAGTTTCGGAAAGCATCGACCCATCGAAATTTCATGCATAGTGCCATCGCCAGATATACACGTGGCTACGAACTATTGATACTAATGTGTTACCTCCTAATAAAGCAGTTTTCTAGTGCAGATGAGTTAATAGTCTGGTTTTGTTATGCGCTTTATGCGTCTTACTGTAGCAATAATTACAAAACAGTATCGTTAAAACTATTTATCTAGTTGATAGAGGACAAATGATATACGAAACACGTGGTAACACGTAGACTAACACACGCCCAGTCCTCGTGCCATCAACCGTTTCGTTTCTACATCCTTTTATTAACCAGCGACGATCACGTGCTTGAAAGTTTTAATATTTTCCTACAACTGTACGACCAACCGTAACAGGAGGTGAAGTGACGTAATGAATCAATACAACTTATGAACGAGTTCCATTACCCACTAAAGTATATAGTTGGTAATATTGTTAGCAAAATCTTTGATTTATTAAAACGACGCATCAACTTTAACTCAACTAATGTAAAATGACATGTGATGTATAAGCTCTCTTCGTTTAATAACTTCAACATATGAAGGATCAGGTCGGTTTACATTTCACACGAGAGGGCGGTAACTATACAGAAATCATTCCCCCTCCTCTTATTAACGTTCTGCACTTCATCTCAGACATGATATTCTAATTCCGTTTCTCCATAACGAGGCATAAATAAAGTTCTTTGTTACTTAGTGTGTAAGTTTTCATTAACCTTGCTTACGAAATCAAACATTTGCGATTCTTCAGACTATGTCATAACAAATTAATAAACTGACCTGCATAAATAGAAACAAGCTTATTAAAATACGGATGTTAAATAGATAATTTGCTTGATCAATTGATATCTGACGATGCTTCAAAACAGAGTGAATCATCATCAGCACACGTACACAGAAATGGCTATCCACTCACCATCTTTACTTTGAAGTTATATTATCTACCAACTATATTTTAAATACGAGTAAACTTAAGCAGTGTTAGATAGAGAATATATAACAGGGTACAGAGGAGGGTCTCACAAACCACAACAAATTATTCTACATAATTCATTTGTACTGATTTACTCTACTACTGTAACATCAGAAGTTACACATCAATAACAGTACCACCCACTTGTCACATGTCATAACTTCAAGGTCCGGGCGTGGCCCACTAGTTGTCGTGCTGTTACCAGTGAAGTTACACATCAATAACAGTACCACCCACTTGTCACATGTCATAACTTCAAGGTCCGGGCGTGGCCCACTAGTTGTCGTGCTGTTACCAGTGAAGTTACACATCAATAACAGTACCACCCACTTGTCACATGTCACAACTTCAAGGTCCGGGCATGGCCCACTAGTTGTCGTGCTGTATGGCTTCTGTTACTCCTTTGTGATCTAGCTCCTTGATACTCACAAGGGTTTGCTAAGATGCAGAATCTATTACAAAGTTGCACTTTTGGCCATCTAGCTTCCCTGTCACATAGCCACTGTGTGTGCTTGGCATGTTACACTTAGCTGTTGGGACTTTCACGATGGGAGTTGGTAGGTGTCCCCAACACGAACCACTATTGGTTTCCCCGAGGCTGATATGTTGGTAGTATTCTTCTTACACTGGCTCTTCATCTGTCCTTGCTCTCCACAGTTCCAACAACCTTTCTGGGTAGCAGCCTTTCCTGCCGTGGCATCTTCCCTGTTTTGAAGTTGCCAGCATTGAGCTCTCTTGTGCCCAGGTTTGTTACAGTGCCAGCAAGGTCCCTCAAACTTCTCTGAAAGCTGCCCTTTTCTGGCCTTGAATCCCGATGACTGTACCAACCTTGGTACCTCTGCTGGGCTTAACGTAGGATTCGAATTCAACAGCTCTGGCCATTGCATCCTGCATAGTAGTAGGGTTTGCTTGCTTCACTTGTACCTTCAGTTGTGGACTGTCCAAGGCGTCTATAAACTGATCCCTCAGCAACAGCTTGAGGACATCGGGTGGCGCAGTTCGGTAGGCCTTGTGTGCCATACTTTACAAATCCTGTGCCAGCTCTTGCAGGCTCTCCCCTTTAGCACGGACTCTCCTTCTAAACCTAGCCCTGTAGACTTCGGACTAATTTTGAGTTCCATACTCGAGTTCTATAACAGCTACCAGTGCTCTATAGTTGTGCCTGTCATCTGCTGACAACTGTCCAAGTATTTCCAGTCGTTGTCCCTTCAGGCTCGTTGCCAGTTACACTGCTTTGTGCTCCTCTGTCCATCGATTCATTTCTACCAGGAGCTCAAACTGTGCTCTATATGCTTCCCATGGTTCCTTCCCATCGAATTTCTGTGGCTTCCTCCGTACTAGATCACCCCTATTGCTGACACTCATGTCTGGAATGTGACTTCTGATAGGACTGAAGATGCCTGCATTAGGGTTTACCGGCGGGGTCTGGAATGGGCTTCCTGTTTTCTGGGGCTGAATAGGTCCATGGTTAATATATCCTCCATTTGTAAAAGACAGCAAATCGTCCTTTAATGTATTTAATTCACTTTGAAATTTAGTAATCTTTTCCATTTGTGTATGCTGGGTTTCTCTCAACTGTTGGAGACTTTCTTCTTGTTTATTTTCTTTCTCACCCAACCACTGCTGTAGTCTCTCTTCTTGTTCATTTTCCTTCTCCTCCAACCACTGCTGTAGTCTCTCTCTTTGTTTATTCTTTTGTTCTTCTTGTTT